TTTTATTACAAAATCGTATGTCAGTATTATATTATATTACGAGATTTTACACATTACATTCACATTTGTTGCACATTTTTCGTAATATAATATTTTCAAAGTTCTTAATGTGCTGCTACCGGTTTTTCAAAGCTGTTAATTATTCTCCACAAGGCCAGCTGTATGGTTGTCCCACTTTTGTAAGGAAGTAAAAATATGTGAACTCAAAAAGACATTTAATAATGTACTTAGAGCACATTAAAATTTGCCCCAAACTTATATATCTTACAAAGTTATTTTACAATTAATATTAGCACTAATTATTATTATATCAGTCGTAAACCGTTCCTTGTTAAGATATTAGCAGAATTTTGTCAGTAGTAGCATAGTTGACAGTTTAAGTTAGGCGTTGGTGATGTTTTAAGAGAGATGCTATAATCCATTGATCGATTATTAACTTTGTCACCTCTTACGACACACATGAGAAAAGAAGGGTTAGCCTATTTTATGTTGGAACCACACGGCTAATTAGCACAATTACTTTACTCAAACTTTTACGAAAAAATTCCAACTGAACGATTTGTTCACGTTGATAGTACGATATACGAACATACAGTTGATATCAAGCTTTTGAAGTGTTTGGAATATGACTGACAGCTCCATACCCACTTTGTGCAAGGCGATCACTGCAATCCTATTTTCCTTAACACCCCATTTCATATTGTAATTTGATAATGAACACGAAAAAATATGAGAAATGGCGCAAAGTCAAAAGAAGTTTTTAAAATTATTATTTTAACGTGTTCTAAATTCAAAATAACTAAAAAGTTGAAAAAATAAAAGTTTTTATGTAACAGTATTTATAGCCAGACTCGTATATACATACGCATATGTATGGGGCATCAGTGAAGAGTGATAGATGAACATAAAAGCAGGTCTGTAAGCCATCGTGAGGAATGCAACAAGTAGGTATTAGTCACAATGCTTTCCAGGGGAAACCGCGTAGAGGTCGACCTGACAGGGCTTGCTAGCAATGGGGCCATTAGTCCCCATTACTGACATACCCTTTCCCCTGTAAGGTCGATCTTCTCGTGTTCCTTCTGGGAATCATCGTGTTCAATCATTTCATCGAGTGAATCAAGTGAATTAATCTGCCTTTTTATTTTCATCTATCATCTGGTAACTGGTGTCTCGCCAGCGTTTACAGTTGGCGCATACCGCTGTGGTTACAATTTCATTTTCATTTATTAAAAACTTTAATCTAACCTGCATCATCTTCTAAACAAACTAACGACCCACCTGATGGAAAGTGGTAATCGTCGCCTATAGACATGAGCAGTACCATGGATATAACAGAGTATACTATTTCACCCATTATATCCACCATGCGTTGCCATTCCTGAGGACTCAGGTGTTATTACTCTGTACCCTGTAAATTCACTGCCATAGGGTGGGACCCTTTATACCGAAACAAAGTTATGCAAACACAACTGCTTCACGGTAGAAACACGAATGGGACAAAGGTACCTAAGCAAACGACTTTTGTACAAAATTTCACTCTGGTGCCCAGGGGGATGGGGTTGTTATTAATGAGAAGTACTACTGTTGTTAGCAATATACCCAGTCACATCAATCTTCACGTAGTTCTCCCTGAAAACCATTCATATCCATAGTATTTTGATTTGATATATAACACCAACCACCATAATTACAAATTATAAACATAAATTACGAGACATAGACATTATCTGTCATTTTGTGTGATGAGAATTTTCAATACAAATAAATATTGATTTTAAATAAGAATTATGTATTATAAGAATTTAATGTCATAGACATCATTTACCTAACATTATTTTACACCAATATCCCGATAAAATACAAAAAAGTATATATCTGTATAAAATGCCGATCCTTTGCTTGAAAAAGTACTGAGCAAATTTATAACAAATAATCTTTGGATCTTGTTACCTTGTAATTGTTACTTTTTGCCTGATGGCTTTCGCCAAAGTCACAATAAATGAAAAAAAAAAATCTTTGTATCAATCATGTTTGTTGGGCTCTTTTCCACAGATTAAGTCACTACCTAAAGTCCAAAGATTATGGTCTCTACGCTCCACTCATTTGTATGGCTGTTTCTGGGAGGCTGTCTGATACTTGTAAAATAAATATATGTTACCTTTTCCAACAACAGTCTAAAATAAAAGAATATTTATAATTATTGAATAAATGAATACTCATAGTGTTGTATCACTAACGCAAAATATTGATATTGACTGTTGCAATAAAAGACCTAAATATTTTCAAATATTATGTATACCGTCTCTAATAAAACAAGTACTTGTGTTTAGTTATTTTATTTTGCATTACTTAATTTCTAAATATATTTCTTTAAAATTAAGTATAGCATTTTTTTTCATTAAACAATAGTTGCAAATTTCGCGCCAAAATCTTTATATTGCTAAAGTCATCCTGAATTTCTATTGGATGATCATCAGATTGAGAAGTATTATATTATTTGAATCACATCTAGGATGTTTGCTTAAAATTCTGTATACAAACTTGTAAATTTTTATAGACATTGTTTTCATCGTCATAATATACTAGTTTATTATGAAATTATATTGAATGAATAAAGTTTCTAATAAAAATATTCCCATTTTGTAATTTTTACTTTGTATAAATGGTAATTATGTAACTTTTCTTTAATTTTACCTGCTTCCTATATTCGTGACTTGTTATTCCATATTACCAAACTTGAACTTTTTCCCGTTTAGATATTTGTTGTACATGTGTATTTTTAATAATAACCTGTGATTCGAAATATTTTTTAACAATGGCTAATTAAGACCTCAAAAGCCTACTAATTAACATTTGAATTTGTCAGAAATTAGTACCTTCTACTGCAGTTACATGCTATTCTAATAATGTCTTATAAAATTCTTTCGCTGACTTGCATTATTTAATTATTTTTATAAATATTCCTACAGCATTTATCGCCAGACCATTTGATGAGAGATTCTTGGCAAAGAATGAGTTATTTTAATATTATACTCTTTACAAAATCAATGTAGTTTTCTACTATTAAATAGGCAATTACACAAATTATCTGTGTTAGTATTTTATACACAGAAAATAGTTGTAATAACTTCACATTTATTTCTTTTATAGGCTTGGAACTTTAAACCACTTCGAAAAATAATCAATTATCAATGAATAATTTTTTCCACTATATATACCACTGCAATATCCATTATATCATACGAGTATCATATAGTATATCATGATTTATTAGTATTTGTTTTCTATTCAAGGATTGAAGTAGTTCATACGATACACATTTCTTAACATAATTTTCATTCATAGTTGACTTTATCATTCTTCTTCTTCTTCCTACCCGTATCCCAATTATTATATGGAGTCGGCGTAATAGGTTTTTTATTCACATTACAAAAACATTTGGCTTAGTTTTATGACCGGCTGCCTGCCTGACGTCAACCCTCTTTGGGAATGCATTTGTTGATGGTTTCCGCCACCTACGGTATGAAGGAGAGGATTGAGGAAAAAAGAAAGGGGACGTTGGAAATTGTTAAGTAAGAGTAATAAGGGACTTATTTAGAAAAGAAAAGGGGATGGATACACTGCAGGTACGGAAAGAACTGAGATAGTGCAGCAGCTCGGGAAGCTGGGGTCGCATACCCGTATGTATTTATTCTAGAATTGGTAGAGATTTCTAGAGAAGAACACCCCTTTAGCGTCATTATTAAACAGAATTTACCTCAAACATAATCTTTATGGAATTAGTTTTCTAAAAGTTTTAAAATCTCTTTGAATCCCATTAGTTGAATATGTGCATTTTTTTATTCACTATTGTCACTAAAGGTATATGAATTTTTAAAATATGCCTATACACAAAATAATTAAATTTTTGTACAGCAAAACAGGTATTTGTTTTGCTGTACAAAAATTTAGCAACTGTTTTTCTACCAAATTGTAATTTTATTCTGCAGGTGTCATAATTTTTGAGACATAGACAATAATTTTATTGCATTAAATAGGAAATTAAAATATCTTTGCATGCATTTGTCCACACTATATTTTTTTGGATGGGTTAAAACAATTTAATATTCATGTGCTAATAACAGCTTACTTAAGATTATTTGAAGAAGTTTGTTGTTGAGTCCTCCAAATATCATTACACATTCCTTTTTAAAAGATACCTTAATGTTTCTGCGAATTTAAATATCGTACCGTATCGTATGTGCCGTTAACTATTCACTATTAAACATAGGCCTTCTCTATAAAGGGGGGTTGTGTTAATAGTTGCCATGCTTGGCATGCAGATTGGCAACCGTAGGCCTCGATAATGTTTTAGGTGAAGAACGCTGCTTCCATCTCTCGACCATTAAGATTCTTTAGTCTCCTCTTACAACAAACACGGGATGTTTGCCACCATAATAGTATAAACAAATTTAGAATAAAATTATGCAAGAATATATTAGATCTAAAAATTTTATTATTACATAATATTTTTAAACAACATGTATTTGTTTGTTTTGAATATTATTTGAAATGGCCATTATGCTCATTATCCGTTCTTCGAACATAGTTTCGCAGTGTTGGTTGAGAACGGTAACATAGATTATACAAAAAATATTGTTTGAAGTGATATAGGTTTATAACGACTTAAAAGTTTTGTCATATCAATGTCAAGATTGTCAATAAAATTAAGATTTGGATTCTAAATAATTGTCGTTTCACAAGTAATTGACTTTCTTTTATCTAAAATGTGTAATTCGATTTTTATTTAAACGTATTTTGGAAATGTTCCATATTAGATTTATACAAGAAAAATAGCTATTTAGAAACGTAGGTACCTATTGAACATCATAATTTAATACATTTAAAGAAGATGTCAATTCCAGAAATTATTTAAGAATATAAAATTCTAGATAAAACTTTACATTTATGACTTGGCAGTATGATTTGTGACCTTAGTCAGTTCCTCCGAGGAACGAATGTACCAAAAAAAAGCAAACAATTCGTATTTTTCAACCGCCTTTTAGTCTCTATACATATTCTTATAAAATTTGTTCTTTAATTTTTTGTTTGTTCGTTTTTAATAATAGTTGTAAATTAGTTTTCATTCCCAGTTAATACCAACAAATATGTACATTTCTAGCAAAACTTTTTTATTATTAGTGTTTTTCTTTCACACATTTTCGTATTCGTACGGAAATGATAAGGTTAGATATGCAGCTGTTATATATAGACATGGTGATAGAACTCCAGTTGAATGCTACCCCACAGACCCTTGGAGGAACGAATCCCTGTGGCCGGTGAAATTTGGACAATTGACCAATATTGGTAAAAGACAACACTTTGCATTAGGCCAATGGCTTCGCCAACGTTATTCAGTAAGAGCTTTTTGTATTATTTTATAAAATTTTAATTAATTATCTGATTTATCTGATTTTATTTGCCTAAAGCTTATGTGAAAAAAATCCTGTTATCGGTAGGACACATCAGAAGTAAAAACTTCTTAGCTTCATAAATGGATGTATCTGAGCGCGATGGTCACGCGAGTTCAGGGTTGGAATATACGCTTAGGGGTACTATGGTCCAAGGATGTCACAAGGATACATGACCAAAGTTGATCCCCTTGAGGAACCCTATCCAATGAACCCATTAAAATTGTTGTTTTTACTGAAATAAAAAACTTCAATTTTATTTTTTAATATTATTTTAGGGTTCTCAGTAGTACCCCTATCCATACACCTAAACTCCAACATCTGACTCTAAGGGTACCTACTGATGGGGTTCAGTGTTTTTGCTACACCCCAAAAAGTACCCAACCAGCTTAAAGGAGTTTTCATTTAAAAAATTTTGATTGAATTATGAATTAAGAGAAAATAATCCATATAGGAATAGGGGGAAAGGATTGTTAGTAATGTAGACTATCAGTCCAATTGCTAGCAATATACTCTGTCAGTCAGACCTTGGACCTCTACATGCTCCCGCCTGAAAACCTTTATATAGAGCATTTAAAATGGGGTTGGATATGACATATGCTATATTGCAAAATTAACGAATGGAGCAAATTAGTAACCTTATGGCATCCAAGAGAGGATACTAGAAGAATGGGGTGCCCGGAAACAAGATGGATATTTGGTATCCGTCAAAACTTGGGGCTTTACTGGTTCAGAGTAGCAGAAAATAAGCCTCAGTGGAGAAAGCTGGAGAAGGCTTATGCCAGGAGGCATTATGAGACATATTGTAATAAACAGAATTGGAAAATATGTTTTACTAAAGTTGTAATGAATTCAGAATAAAAGGGCTTTATTATTATGGTTATGAACCAAGGATGAACCTAATGGTTACTATAGAAAATGGCAACCATTATATATGTATACATGAGATGACATATATGTGTACATGAGCATCATTAACCCATTTCTGACAAATGACCATGCCAATTTGTGAATACTTAGTTGGGATTGTAGGCAGGTGAAAAAATTATCAACCATAAAAAAATCTTGTTACATTATTACATAGTCAATAGTATGGAATATACATAGATTACTTTATATAAAAATTGTAAACCCTTTTATTTTAATTGTCTGAATTTTGATAAATTATGATGTCAGAAGGTATATGTTTTTTAGCAATTATTATATTATTTGGGTACTAGATAATCTGTATATGTATTTATTTGCAAATTTAATAAATAATGAAATATTTACAAGTGTTTTGAAAGAGTTATGATAAATATGTAAAAGTATAAATTGATCCAAGGAAGTCATAATTGTGGTACTGAACAATAGTAACGTTGGACTAAAGTGTGATTCTTGATAAGACATCAAATCTAGACATTGTTAATAGTAATAGTTGACTAGCCAAAATCAGGATTTTATAGTGATTTAAGATACCATCAAGCTTAACAAAAATATTCCTGGAAATGTTGAGATACATATTATAAATTATGTAACGCATAACTGTGATCATGTGTTACTGTCTACTAAAAGAGCGCATATGAACTCACAATAATGTCACCTTAGTCATTAAAGTCTAGAAGAACTTACTATTGTCTTATGCTGGTAATCATTGATCACCCACCTATTCATATGGAGTGTAATTATCTGCATAGTGAAAAAGCACTCCTAGCCCAAAATATTTAATTCTTTCACAAAAGTGTAAGAAGAACTTAAAAGACATTATATGCAATTTGGACTTTCATAACGAAAAAAGCTAATGGCTCACTAGATGGAAAAGTGTTGGCTAGGGGTGCCATATACATGAGCACCATGCTCAGATTACACTTTGTGATACCCATGTATTCATAATGGTTATTGGCATTCCTGATGACTGAAATGTTGTGTTGATACACAATAATTTGACTTGTGACTAGAAAAGTCTTTGGAACAGTCAGCAGCTATATATAGAATTGGCTGATTCAGGGCAGAAACTTGTGATATATCTTATGTATGTGTGATAGCTAACTGACATGACAATGCTTTATGACTATGTCACTGAAAATTTATTCCTAAAGATAAAATCCAATATATGTATTTATTATTTATATGTAATATAGCCATATTTTATATGGAATGATATTTCCTGAGGTAGAAAACTCACCCTTCATCATCTACGAACCAAGATTTTTGAAAAAAAAAGAAAGTAATTAAGGCCTTTACTTTTTTGACAAATTTTGGTAATATTTAAAATATCATATGCACAACAAAAGTTTCACTAACTTATCAAGTTAGTAAAACGTAAAAAAAAAACTATATTTTTTAAATAATGGCCACTGTGACATTTTGGGGACATCTCTGTAATTTCTTAAAAAAAACATTTTAAATTGAAATTTTGACTCATCATGGACCAACTGCCCTGTTTTTATCCTCATCTGTCATCCATCACTGATGCCCTGCCAATGTACATTGACAGTGCAGGAGAGGTAACCATTTCATTTTCAAAATAAAGAAAAATGCAGCTTTGTATGCCTATAGCATACTAGTTGAAACATGATTAGGACAGATTTATTCATGTAGACAATATTTTTTTTTTTTTTAATTATGGTAGTAATTATTAATTTACTTTTATACAGCATTTCAATATTTTTGTATTTCACAATGACTGAGTTATTTCTGTTGTTATCTAATTATCACATTGATAAGTATTATAGATAAGTTACAAATTGTTAATTAGTTAAGAATATATGCAATCAGTATGTAGTATATTTTTTATCTTAAAATTATGAAAAGAACAGTGTTATATATCTTCTATCAAATGTTTGTATTTGCTGCCCATTGTAATGAATTCATTAAAAATTAACTAAAGTAGTTTCCATGTGATGTTATGTGAAGGTTGACCTTACAGGATATATTGCTATCAATGGAGCTCTTAGTTCTCATTACTAACAATCCCCTGTATTTTGGTTGAAAAGAGACATATTTTTTTCTGTGTCACTCACTGACTATGTACAGTTGGTACATGTTATTATAGAATATTACCAGGTTTAACATTTTCTTACAATTCTTTTAATTTATTTTCTTTTATATACAAAAAGAATTGACTGTATATCTGCCTGTTATAATCTTCATATTAGTATTTATTTGTATTTTAAAGTTATTGTTAATTAATTTTTTTAGCATTTATTGTCAACTGAATTTGAACCTACTGAGCTGCATGTCAGGTCTACAGATGTTGATCGTACTCTAATGTCTGCACAAGCTAATTTAGCAGGTGATGTATCCAATGTTGCAATGGTTTTATTGTACATATTACTAGCTACACTCTCAATATTATTCATTTAGGAAGGTAAATTTTTTCCATGAATGTTATGTATGAATAAATCGGTCCAGGTACTGGTTATCACTACATGAAATTTCACCAAAATCCATCCTGTAGTTTTTTCATGATGCATTATAGGTCTGGTTATAGTTTTATTATATGTATAGATGTCCTTTATTATTTGCTTTATTTAAATGCAAAAACATAATCCTACTAGTATGTACTGTAAGTGTACACAGATTATATCCTAACTTTACACTTAGGATACTTTATACATACAGATGCACACGAGTAAATCCACAGTAAACAGCTAATTTTATAAGAAATATGTTAAAATAACTTTTCACTGTTAGAACTATGAAAAGAACCAAGTACAATATGAAATTACTAATTTGAGTGTTCTGCTTAACAACTATTACAAAGTTAAGCTTACAAAAGGTTAATTACTAAAATACCAATTTTTTATTTAAGAGATAAACAGTGTGATTGGATATTTTCTTTTGGAATACTATTTAGAATGTACATTTTTACATTACAAATAACATTTTTTTTCAACAGGAATGTATCCGCCAAGTGGTAATAGTATATGGGACAATCAGCTTATGTGGCAACCTATACCAGTTCATACAAAGCCTGTGTTTGAGGATAACTTGCTAGCTATGGAAAAACCCTGTACCACATACACACAAGTTTTCAATGAATATGTGAACTCAGAAAAGTACTTGACTCGGCTTAGTAAATATAAAAGTCTTATGGAGTAAGATATAGTTATTCATATTGTTTTTTATATATTACAACCCATATCTCAAAAGAATAATAATAATAATGAAAAATATTATTAACTGTACAGTTAAGTGAATTGCTGAATAAAAATTTTATATATCTAATTATAGAGTCAATGTCTCACCCTATCATTATTATCAAAGATGTTATGCTTAATGATGCCTTGAAACAGCGAAACAGTAATTATTTGTGGAACATATGATAACTATTTTGTAACTTATAAAGTTTTATTTAATACTTTTTTTTTATTTCTTTCATAGATACTTATCATATCATACTGGTGAAAATGTAACTGACTATAATGATATCAACAATATTTATAATACATTGTACATTGAAGAGCTATACAATTTCACTCTACCTAATTGGACACAGAGCGTATATCCTGACAAGTTATTGGAACCGGCCTGTTACAGGTAAAATGTATTCTATTACTACTATGTATTATGATATTATAACATAATAATGGCAGTGCTGATATTATAAGCCACACTACTAGGCTTGCATACAACAATGTATGTATTATAGCAATTTTTTTGTAGAACTGCACTGCCACCTTAGATTATACAGATCGTATCAAGTATCAAAAACAGGTGAAGTTGTAGTCAGCTGATTTGACGTTTGGCAATTTTTTTTTATCAAAACAAAATGCATTTTGTTTTTACTATTGCAAGTAATGGAAATAAAAATAACCCAGTCCAAGTCGATTTTATGCTTTATACAGGAAAAGTCATGATTTTTATTCATATGATTTTTATTTATTATTGTGTCACAATTATATGTGTATATTTTTAGTTTTACCTTAAAGACCGTTTTACCAATACTTGCACGCTTGAAAGTTGGTCCGCTACTCAAACATATCATTGAAGAAATGATCAATATAATGAAGTTCGAATTTTTGGGCATAGATGAGGTGGGACCGAGAGTATCTATTTTTAGCGGCCATGATGTGACAGTAGCTAATTTTCTAAATGCATTAGGCATGTTCGATGGAAAATGCCCTATATACACATCCGCAGTATTTATGGAACTGTTGCATGGTGAGTGTCTTTAACAATTTATGTACGAGAGATGGAATATAAATTGTAAAGGACAGATATGTTTGAATTATTGCTATGTTCTGAAAAAACATGTTTTAAATATTGTCATTTCCTTTGAAACTAAAATAGATATAATATAAAAATTGATTTAGTTTCGCATCAAACGGTTTTGTCATTCATATGCTCCAGTTTGTACTTGGGTAATGTGCTGACGCCAAAATTGCGCTCTGGGCTTGATTCTGATTACCTATACTTACATTACCTATACAAAATATGCTCTGTGTAAATATTTGTTAAAAAGCAGTTATCTAACTTTAAAATAAAAAAATATCTTCACAAAACACAATGAATATCAAACGTCAGGTTACATATGATTTTGTCTTTTTGTATGTTTGTTCCAACGTCACTTAAAAATTATTACATGAGTTTGCATACATTTTCACAGTTGTATTCCTAAAAGTCTAACTTAAAATCTGGTATATATTTTATCTTGATAATCCATCTAGAAGAGCCTTTTTTTATTGGTGTACTTCTAAACTTCACATATAGTACCTTACAGTAACAATAACAAATACAAAACTCAACAAGATGTAAAATAAATTTTTACATTTATTATATACAGAAACGTCTGCTGATAAGATGATCGATCAAGAATATTTTATAAGGATCTCATATAGAAATGTAACAGAGATAGTGGAACCTCATGTTTTAGATATACCGCACTGTGGGAAGAAATGTCCTCTAGAAAAATTTATAAAGTTATACAAACATTTACATTCTGTTGACTGGGACTATGAATGTGAACATCAGGTAATATTTAGATTAATTCTATTACATTAGCGTTTGTACTAGATTTTCTCAAATGTCCATATAAAACCTTGTACTTCTTCCTATATAGACACAAAATGTAATCTTCTCATTTTGTGGTATATACATGCTTTACATGTAAATTATATATATTAACTCATTCGGTAAAGGTTGCTTTGCCATCTACTGGATCCATTTATGCTATAGGGATAAATACTGACACTGCCCATGTCTATTGGCAGGGTTTACCATTTTCATCAGGTGGACTGTCAACTTGTTAGCCATACTAAGTTGTAATAAAAAAAACTACTCTGTCTCTAAATTAAAGCAAACTAGTGGCGTAACAATAAAGTGACAGAGTGGGCAAAATGCCACAGGTCACCGGCCTGAGGAGGCCTAGTTAGAGTGGCCGTGAGCACGGAAATAATTGAACATTTATTAGAATATTAACTTAAGAATATACACGAATTATACAAATAAATTATCAAAATTTCAACAGTGTTTGAAAGCTGAAAAAAATGTATTGTTTGTACCACAGGCATCAGGTGGTATAAACAATATATATTTACAAAATTTCATTAAAAACAATTGCGTTCGTGGATTTGTGAGAACAAATATCGTAACATTGGATTTTAATATATTAAGATTTTTTTTATATTTCATCAAAACTAAGTCGATAACTAAAGAAAAAGTTAGATAAATGTCTTTATTTATCGATACTTGAGATACTTCAATATTATATGGGTTACTTGACGAGTGTAGATGAATTCATAATCTGCTCTCATATATTGTACTTTATCATACTTAATATTTTCAGATGTGTTACATAATATAATATGATCCGTTAATATAATATTTATAATAATTGCAAAACCGTACGTAATAAACACTCATTATTTGAATTACAACTTTCGTAATCCTTACAATAATTAGTAACCATTACTTAGATACTCAGATAATTAATAAGTCGTAGAATATCTTGTTTAAAGTGAAACTTTTAATATTGTTTTACATCATTCTGTATGAAGTTCGAAGCATGAATATTGTAGAAATATAACTATAATACTAATAACTTATTATATAACGGTTCCTAGCTCGATCTACAATATTAAAAAAAATACAGGTAATATGATAAATAATAAATTATTAGTAGCTATGTAGTTAATAAGAGAGTGTATATACAGGGTATCCGGTAATGAATGGATAACTTTGAGACGTAAACGTAACGTAGAGAATTGGCCTTAGGCGCCCGAGCCATCTGTTTGGATACCTTCTATTTAAATATGCACGAACCGGTACAGCATAATGCGCAGGACAATCGTCATTTTGCAACCAATACGATTCCTTCAGCTCCTCGGAAACCTCTGATGAAACTCCAAATAGCTTTGCCCTGAATGACCAGGGAATTTAACAGGGCAGATATGTGGAGTTTCTTCATATATATATATATATATATATATATATATATATATATATATATATATATATATATATATATATATATATATATATATATATATGAAATATGTATGTATTTATAAATAATAAGTCTTTTCGTTTGAGTCTAGAAAGCACAAACAATAATATTGGGGTTGTGGTGCGGTTAGTAGATACAATTATTTTGGTTAGTTGATTAGAATTTTTTTTTATTTAATACCGCTACCATTAGTATGCGTGTGAATATCAACATTTGAGGACTAATTACTAATATTATTAGCAGAAGTTCTACCACCTTTCCTATATTTAATGTAACCATTATTCAGTCTACGCTCATGATGCGGTACGTGTTTCACGGAGCGAAATTAAACAAATTCTAATCAACTATGTTTTATGGATCTGGAATATGCATATCAGTCGTCTAGTACGCGAGTATAAACTTTGCTGAGTTGGGACTAATTGGCGTTATGTAAGCATGCCTAGTGATATTTACGGTATTACATATTTAGTAAGGTATTGATAGTTTTATATTGTGAAAGCTATTGGTCTTATACTAACAATGCACTTTTCTTTTCAGCCACTATCTGCAATCCATGTCTTTCCCCTAATCGGTTTGGGAATAATTATGTACTATGCAGCAGTGAAATGCAGGTGAGTTTTCCACTATAAATTATTATTATTTCAAAGTTATGAAACTGTTGACCCAGTTTTTCTATTTTAAATAATAACATGTAAACAGGAGAATTAAAAAGCTCACCTTACACGAATTCTTATAGGATTATTTATTTGATTCACTCAGTTTAATAGGGTTCTTGCGCTGAGGGGATAATATTACATTCAGAATTCAGTTCATGGTATAATGCAGTGACGGACTAAGCCCATCAGAGGCAAGGGGCGGCTAAGCTTAATGAGGTCCGCAGTTTAAAAAGTTGATGTAATTTTATTAGCTTTTTATTCATTTCACATTTGGGTGTATAAGTGTTTGTTTATTAAAATCTTGCAAGTGAAATATAAATTATTTTATAAAAAAAAACCAGAGGGCCGGGGCGGGTCACCCCTTCTGCACACTCCATTAGTCCGCCACTGGGTACATATATATCAGTTATAATTTTATATTTTTTATATAATTAACCTAAGTTTTTTTTTATTTCAGGTCTAAGTTAACTTACTCAAATTTGCATACAATCTCTAAAAACTATGACCGATGATAACACTGTATTAAGACTGTACCTAAATACTGCCAAACACAACACGACTTTGATGCTACGCGTCCTGTGCATTAGCAGCGACGTACGAAAACGTCTATTATACGCACAGGTGTTGCATTATGGACGATTTTGTTAATTTAGTTATAGTTTAATTAAATTTTTGACACAGCTTTATTTGCTACTATATAAATAGTATACTATATATATATATATATATATATATATATATATATATATATATATATATATATATTACAGATTATTTAAGTAAATAAGTTTATAATTAATATTGTGTTAAAATATATATTTTACAAATAATGGAATTCCAGGATAAATAAGTTTGAATAAATACTCAATTATTTATTTCAAATACACAATGTAATTTATTTCATAGTATTAATATTACAGAGAAGTATTACGACTGTCTAATTTTATTTGCTGTATTGTTAAATTTGTTTATGTTTGTGAATGACTAAAATGATAATATATACCTGTAACGACAAAGACTATATATTAGCAGATTATATTTAGAGCGCCTTGTGTTGATTGTAAATAGTCTGAAATTTGTTGTTATAACATAGTTATAATTATATAATTAAAGAGAGACTTACCTACATTAGACATATACAATTTTATATTATTGTTGAAAGTATTGTATGAAACGTTACATAAATATTATCAGTACGAAGTAATAAATAAATAGTATAAGTAAATTAGATATTACGTTCACATTCATATTTTTCAAAGAAAACCTAATTGCATCCTTTAGTGGATAGTTCGAACTCAGATTTTACATATAACCTAATCGACGTAAATGCGATTGTAAACTCACACTAGATACTCAGTTTGTTAATTTGTAACAGTTTTATTAATACGTATATTATAATTTCACAATTATATAACGTTGATATAAAAAAAGAACAGGATGTACGATCGGTAGAATTAAAAGAGGAATTCAATTAAATAATATATATGCCGCAGTTTGCTAGTAAAAACGGGTTATAATTTATCCCTAAAGATACTGTACAACATTTGACGCAATCCTGTCAAATGTGCCGTAATGCTTTTACAGTTTTTCTAATAACATAACATCTAGACACTATTTGACTCTGCTCATAGCTTGTTCTAAGAAAAGTGTGTGTGTTTTTTTATATCAGTGGACTATTGTATGTAATGCGTGTTTTATTTTTTGATGTTGACCTAGATTAAAATGTTATTTGCATAGTTCATGTGCTCTGATTACGGACAAATTCATTAATTTTTATTTTAATTTTATTAATCACAACCATTTGAATTAACTATTATACGTAAGGTTAGTTGGATCTAGATAGAATATTGAAAGTAAAAAATGTCTCAATGATGGCCAACAAATTGTAATTATTTAACAGGGTATACGAAAGTTTGATAGTAATAATAAATATTAAAAAAAAAAATATAGTTTGTAGTATCATCATCATTACAGCCCTTAACTGTCCACTGCTGAATAGGCCTTCCCTTCCCTAGTCCCCTTTTACGACACCCACGTGCAAGGAAGGGCCTATCCTACGCCAGGACCACACAGCAAGTTTGTAGTATAAAATTTACAATTATAAAATTAATATAATTTTATAAATTAAAAAACGGGCCGTCGGCCTCTCTTGTCACTGCCATGTAGACACATTCTGCACTCATCAGTAAACAGTACCGACCAATGCGCAACGCTCCAACACCTCTCGTACACGTCTCAGTTCCTGCTGCACATCAACACCCGTAAGGTGTCGATTTCGCAGCGAGGTTGAGACAATGAAGCGGTCGTCTCTGTCTGAAGTGCACCGTTAGCGGCTCGTTCTTGGTCTCCGATTAAAGGCACCGGTCTTTTGGAACCGTTTGCATACTCGGGATACAGCAGACTGGCTCAAGTGAAGCTGGGCAGCGCCTGCTCGCTGGCTTAACCCTTGTTGTAACAAGGTAACAACTTGAACTTGTGCGGCTTCTTCTGGTGTGGTATCCATGATTTCACGAAAACAAGGAATGCAATTTACTGAGATGTGTACGGGTCAACTTGTGATAAGCGACTGATAACGTAAACCGGTAGTGGGCGGGTTTTATAGCAGGCACAGGTAGCGCAACTCGTGGATACCTTATGGAGCAAATTTTCCTTGACGCCCAATTAAAATGCGTCATTAAATCAGTGCTTAAGTTTTTTAGGGTATTGATGTTAAATGAGAGCATAACTTTTCAGCTTTCGAAGGACATATCATTTTTATAATTGACATTTGTCATTTTAGTAAAATCAAAGCATATGTGCGCCGTCAAGGGTTGAGTCGATTTAGTTGCTCGCAAGTATACATAATCATAATAGAACATATCCAGATAAAACTTAGTTTAATAATTAGCCTAATTTCCAGGCTCCCAATTAAGTGAATGGAATTTAATAGTAAATAAATACTTATTACCCAATCATAAGCATACCTATTCAAGTATTGCCATATAAAGAAATATAAGTTTAAGTTTCAGTAATAAATTAATATTTATTAGATTATTATTACATTTATTATTTTTATTTAATTTTAATTTTATACTATTGAAGAGTCCCATGAAGGATCAAGATCTCACCTGATGGAAAATAAAGATATATAGTCTATTCCCATTCATCTTAAATTGGTACAGATTATATTTGGATGGAAAAACATAAGCAGGAAGAGTTCCATTCCTTGACCATATGCGTAATGGATGAAGACACAAAGCTCTTCCTTCGTATAAGTGATAAGTCTAAAATGTAAGAGTGGAAGCTTTCGCCCCATCTCGTCGCCTGATGTCGAGATGGTGAAGGTATCGAAGTGGTGCATACAAGTTGTACATAAGTAGGTACATAGATATATTTTATTAATAGATATATATATTATATATTTAGAATCGACCTTAGCAAATAACTACTATTATGCCTCTGCAGAGCGATTTAAGAACTAAAATTATTAATATGAATAATGCTAATTTTTTATGAAAAGTACGTTAATTAATTTGTTTTATCAATCAAGAAGCAATCGTGTTAAGTAACACTAACATTTTCGACAGTTTGCAATTGTCTGATTGTATTTGTATTATATTTATAAAAAAATTTCTTTCTCTACGTAGATACTATGCGTAGTCTATGGGCATATGAACAACTACTTGTAAAGGGCCTTGGGCGACCTTTCCTAGAGTTGTTAAGTACTCTAATAATATATCGATATTGTAATAATTATTTTAACCTCATTTAGAACTATATTATTATTAGTATATAGTTGATTGACAAAATTTTATTTTTTATCCACAATTCTTTAAATAATATTCTGAAGCAATGCGATAATCTAGGATGTGATAAGAATTTTTTAAACCATTTATAAAATAAAAAAAAGTATTGTAGTTACCTTATACATACACTTATCCACATAGTATAAAATATTTATTAAATAACCTATCAAATCAGAAAGGGTCATAATTCACAACTGCCTCATCAAACATTTCTGTTAATACAATTCTGTTCGTCTGTCACAGGAATATATTGAATTAAAACTTGGAATAATTTTAAATATTCTAATAGAAAAGAGAAATTGAAAAATAATTATTTAGAATAAGCTATTTCTGTTCAAATGAGTATGTATAAGTATTAAGTTAAATTTTAATAGCTTGATCGATACGTCTGGTGAATAAAGAGCTAGAACTTCTTTAATCGACATATAAATATTGTTATACATAAAGGAAATGCAGCAAATCTTTTTTCATAACAATTTTTTTGAAATAACTTCTATGTATAGGCTTCGTCTAGTCACATTTTTATTTTATGTATACAGTTTATATTTTATTATTGTCCTTATACCCAATAATAAACCAATGATAATATATTATTATCGATATTTATGCAAAATATCGATAATATTTTTTGTGCTACATCACTGACGATAATTGTCATGTCAATTCCTTATCGAAGTGTATGGGTTGTATTTTTTTATAATTTTTATATACAATGTTTACTATAATTTCGATAAAGTTTTATTTAAATTTAATAGAAAAATTGTGATGACGAATCTTATGTGAATTTTTGTTTGAGTGACCGCGGGTGATATTGATGTGTTCACGGTTTGTGCAATAATTTATTTGGTCACGTCTCCTTCACCTATCCTCATAGGTACCATCACGTAGTCTCGAGTCCAACAAGTAACTCTTTAAACTATAATTCTATTGTCTTGTACTTTAATTAGACACAATTAATTTTATTTATTATCAAAATGCCTACATAATTTGTTCATGTCCCATTTCTAGGAATAATTACAATAGATATGTTTTACTTAATTCTAACTGTATATTTAATATTTATTTTAGCATTATTAATATGGTATTTAAAGATATTAATTAAGTATTGAAAGTAATCCTGCAGCTTTGGTACCATTTGTTTAAAAGTTATTATTATCTATAAAATTAATAGGAAATTATTAATTATTACTCTATGAATTACCTGGTTTTCCCATCAGGGCTTTGATTTATCAATGTTTGTAAACAGAGCAGGGTGCGTTTTTTTATTAATTGATGGTTTTTAATAAACTCTGCTTGTGCTATCAGTATGTGCTTGCGGAATCCCATTGAGAGATGATAGGTGACGATAAAAGCATGTCAGTTTGCCGAGCATAAAGAATTCCACAAGAATTAACCACAATGGTTTTTACAAGGAACCACCTAGACAGCAACTTAATAGATTATATTGCTTGCAATTAGGTTGTTATGTATTTAATGCAAATCTTGCTTATAACTAATGGGTAAAATAATAGTGTATATAATATAATAATTATAAATAAATAATAGTGTATATATATATATATATATATATATATACATATTAGCATAGTTATATATAATATATATTTATGTCGACTTCATTTGTGTGACCAGAATTTCAGACATTTGAATGGGATACAAGATGCTCTTAGGTACTATAAGATAACAATCTCACTTTCATATTTATACTTTTAGGAAATACAATTATTATTTATTTTTTATTAAGTATATGTATGTCTTAGATTATATAGATAAAGCCTCAAGCCTCAAAAATGGGTCAACTTTTTGTCAGCTAATTGTCAAATTAGCAGACTTATTGTTTTTATTAGTGCTCTGTATATTTACACTTACAACATACCTTGATTGTCTATATTTAATTAAAATGAGTTTTTGTCCACTAAAAAGGAGCAAATATACGACAAAAAATAAAATTAATAAAGGAATCACTTATAACCAGTAAGTATCTTTAATTTTAAGCATAAATACAATTATAATTATTCACTTTTCTTTTTAAAAGAATTCGCGCCATTTTTTTTTTAGTGTTGCAAGTACCTGAAAAAAATCCCTACAATAGAATTAAATTTTTCTGAATGAGATTCCAATAAGAATTGAATTATTTTTATTTATTATTTGTATTTTGTGCTTTTTTCTTACATAATATAAATATATTATTAATGTAAGTATGTGCATAGAGAGACTATGTAATGTTATTCTCATTAAATTACACTGTAGGATAAAATTATTTGAATTATTAATAAAATAGCCACCATTCTCAAGTGACTTCAAAAAGGAGATTTTAAATTTGACTATATATTTTATTTTTTATATATAATTTATATAACATGACTATGACTGTTAATATTATAAAAGATTATTTTATTAATCTTAATATTTTAAGTTAGGATCTTCACCTATTTACCTTAATCTAAAGTAATAATATCTAATCTGGTAACACTGCCACATTTACAATTGTATGAAAAGCCTGCTTTTTTTTAAGCATTTGTATGGAGACACACTATCTATATAATCTAACGTGTAGGTATTTTATAGTTTATTACACTATCATATTTTATTATTAGTTTTATCTCACAGTTTTACCTATGTGAAACTGTATGCTGTTTGTTATTCTATGTTGTGCTCTGTTTATGTACTAAATATTAGCAGCAATTTAAGTTCCATTGAGAAAACAACTAATAATAATAACTTATTTAAATGAACTTTCATATTTAAAAATAAATAATTGTTATTTTTTTTTTAATATTTTGCATTATATACTTATTTAAAAGGATTTATTTACTCTTTCCCTAATTCATTCATTTTTAAGGTTTATTTTCAAATTCTAATATGAATTTGAAAACAGATAATTTTATTTTTGCATCAAAGTTTTCAATAATAAACATTAAAATGAAAAAACACAATTATCCCATGGTGATATGTAGCATATGCATATTTTAACAATTGTACAGACAATAATATTAAATGAATATAAAACATGATAATTAATAAATCAAACTTGGTTTGAAGGGTGGGATATGGCAGTGAATTTGCAGGGTATAGAGGAATAACACCTGAGTCCTCAGGAATGGCAACACATGGGAGGTATCATGGGTGAAACAGTATACTCTGTTGTTTCCAGGGTACTGCTCATATCAATATGCAACAGTTACCACTTTTGATTCTTTCAGCTTATTTGCTATTCTAAGTTGCTTAAAAAAATACCTATTTCTATATATACATATGAATAATTGATAATTGATGCTCCTTTCCACTCAAGCTTTGCTGGAAATAACTCTCCTGTTGTATACTTAATTAATATAAATTGTAACAATGTAATTATTGTGTAGTTACAATAAAGTATAAATAAATAAAATTAATAGAGAGCCACTTTATTTAATTATGTCTGACAGGGTATGTCATGTAACTGTTATGACTACCTTCATAAAAATTATTTAATGTAACTATTTTATTACTACCCTATAAAAATAATTATCTCTAATATTTCTAAACATAGTGTGTAATTGTTGTTCCTTATTAATTTCATTATGGTAAGTATGTTTAAATATTCTTTTTCTGTATAAAGTATACTTCTGTAAATATATCATACATACTTCACAACTTTACAAACACTGCTTATTAATATTATAAATATGAAAGTGAGTTTATTTGTTTATTATCTCTTGGTAGGCACCATTGGTAGTCATTAGGCAATGGCTCAAACAATTGTTATAAAATTTGGTATTTACATAGTAACCCTATGGATATAAAGGCATAAGTAAGAAGTAGTTAAATATAATCTAAATATGTGTTAATATGTAGTATTTCTTGTTAAAATAGTTTGTGTATAAATAATAATCTTTGGCCATATAAAATATTTCAGATTTTTTTTTTAAGTAGCATGTAAGTGTATTTGAGTACACAATTATAGTTTACATGCACAAATATGTGATTTTACATTACAGAACTATCTACATTAAAAAAAATTGTTGTGTAATATATTTATTGCATTTAATTCTTTAAAATGTGAACACATATTATTTCTTAAGTTACTTATTTCTTTGAATAATAATTAGTTATGACATTGGATTACTTGGCTTATTTACAATGTAACAGTTGTTGCGAGAATCTTGTGTCTAGAGTAACATATGAACATTATTTTATTTTTTATATTTTCAATAGGTAATTCTTTGTCGATGATAGCCTACAACAGAGGCTGTTACTATACTAAAATTGACTGCACTATACTTTGTTTCAATAGAATTGAATGAAAAGTTAATTTTATTGTTAAGATTATCCTAAAACATATGAAATTAGTAATAAAATAATAGAAACATTTAAACTACTATTAGACAGCATCAGGTTGTCAATTATTAATTTGTTTATATTATCATTAACATGTATTAAATCAAACAATAGTAGTGGTTTAAGTTAGATAGTATGTGAAAACTATGAAAAGGACATATACTCGATCTAAGCTATGTTCATTTGAGGGTGTCCAAGACCCATGGCTTTATGAGTTTATTTTAAACAATTTAAATATAAATATGAAATTATTATTCAGACAGAGCTGTCGCGGCTGTGTTTAAAAGTGGACATAGTAATTTTAGCTACCTAATCCAATTTCGGTGATTTGATATGTATTTCCATAGAAACCATAAAAGTTACCTTTTTGTAACTAGTGATTATAACAGAACTAGTTGTTATCTGCGACTTCATCCGCGTACCCGGGGTATGTTTACTGACCGGGATAAAAAGGAGCTTATATCCTTCTTCACCCCATATATTACGTGTATATCAAATTTCATAGTTATTGGGTAACTATTAAGGCGCTATAAGGTAACAAACAAACAAATTCATAACATTAGTAAGGGTGTAACTGTCCATCACTGTTTTGGATATCGTTTTTGCACATTTTTAGTAACATGCGATCACATGTAATACTAATTGCAAGGCCCCCTAAGAGTCGCGACCTCCCGGCTTGAGAAACAATGGTCTAGATAGGAAGGTTGGTGTGGCTCACTATAGGTATGCCAATAGATGTAAGTAATTATCTACATGAATATGAGAGAGAACCGTCAACTAAAACCTCGTGGAAATGGGACAAATGTAATCAATGTCATCAATTTCATTTGAAATACCTACGTCTATTATTTCGTTGATTGTTCGTTGTGACGTCGAAGCTCATCCGTAATATTAGGGCTGCCAAATAAGGAACTGTTTGATGTTAGCATCTACTTACATTATAATCGTTCTATGATTTTACTGCTATTATAATTGACTGTTGTTTTATATTTTATCGCATATGCCGTCGTTATCATTTTCCTGCTTTGTTCCGTATTGATTTAGTGTAGGTTTAATGTTTTTATCTTTCATTCAGTTTTGTTTACTATTAGTCCCCTTTTGGGTATATCATCATAGTATGAGATAAAATTATCTTCATTGCATTTTTTTTTATACAATTTAGAATGGCAAATAAGCTGACGGTCCACCTGATGGAAAGTAGTGACCGTCGCCTGTAGACATGAGCAGTACTATGGATATAACAGAGTATACTGTTTCGCCCATGATACTCCCCATGCGTTGCCATTCCTGAAGACTCAGGTGTTATTCCTCTGTACCCTGTAAATTCACGCCATATCCCACCCTTCAAACCGTAACACAGCCATGCAAACACAGCTGCTTCACGGTTGAAACACGAATAGGACAGAGGTACCCAAGTAATCGACTTTTGTACAAAGTCTCCCTCTGGTAAATAGTTATTGGATAATTGAACATTCTCTCTAAATTATATATTGAAAAAATTGAAGTAT